AACTTCCAGGTTCTGTTCCAGAAGTGGGAAAACTTCATTATAAATCACATTGACATTTGTAACTATGGTAATGACTAAAAATATAGCCTCGGAACAAATCCTTTCTCAACTGTCGTGTGGCTCACTTAGATTATTTGAAGGTCTAGTGTGTAACATTTAGGAGGATCTATTGGCAGAAATAGAATTTAATATTCATAGGTATTTGTGTTTAATCGCCTGAATATAGAAATCATTGTGTTTTTGTTACCTATGAATGACCTGTTTTTATCTGGTCGCCTTACGTGGAGGCCGCCAATTACATTTTTCGTGTGCTTAGAAGAAGAGGGTGAAGCGAGGGAGGTGCGATCTACAACTAAACCACTAGATAACACTAAATCCTACACACTGGACCTTTTTATGCCTTGTTTTGCATGGCCATACTCTTAACTAAGCCATTAACTAATATTGTTTCCTCAATAGTGAGTAAGGAAATGTGTCTCTGCTTCCCCAGCGGACATCTCCAGGATGTGTGATGTGGATGTGTCCTCTGAGCCCACCAGTCCCACCCTGTACAGTGAGTCTTCAGACAAGTACTACCATGTGGACCGCTGGCAGAAGCTCCGCACCGCAGTCCGCAAACTGGAGTTCTGGGAGAACTTTACCGCTGAGCTAATCGGAAGTGGTTTCTTCTCTAAAGTCTATAAGGTATTCTTTCTGTCCTCCCCATATTTTGCCTTATTGCCGGGCTTATGTGTGAGCTGCCATGAAAGCCTGCATTGTTCCAGCCACTAATTGGGACATTCTTGCCATTCTGTGATTGGTCCACCAGCTTTAGAGACCATGGGGGCACAGTACTCATCCCCAGTTGAAACCTTATATAACTCCTAATGTGACAGCAGTGCTGGAGTAGAGCTACGGGAGGAGCTGATTTTCATACATTTAGGCTTTGGCCTGATGAAATGAGCTAGAAAGAGGCCACAGGATGAATGAGTGATTGGGGAGAGAGATTGAGAAAATCGGTTCTTGCTCTCTGATTTTGGAGTGATGTTCAAATTGAATCAACATAGAAAACACAAATGGGTACTTGATTGAAAAACTGCTGTCACTCTTTGGTCTTTTCCACCGGTTTTCCTTGGGAACCGAAGTGGGCATGTCTTATTCTACAGGTCGTTGTGAACTGTGCAAAGCCCTCTGTTGATGATGCATCCACAGTGGTTCGACTCAAAACTGGTGGTCCCTGGTTTGATAGAGAACACAATGTTTCCAAGAATCTTGTACAGAACTGATTCAAGAACCAGAGCTCTTTTGGTGGAAAAGCACGAACAGTGTTCACTAACCATTAACAGCTACAACTGCCACTTCTTTTGCTTCCTCTGCCTCTGCTACTAACAGACATCAATGTCCTTCAGGTGATGCATAGCACCAGTCGGAAGGTGATGGTGGTGAAGATCTATAAAAACGACGTGGACCAAGACAGCATCGTACGAGAGATCAGCCTGTTGCAGAAGCTCTCCCACCCCAACATCGTCAGGTAACAGTCCACTCGTGTCCCACTTCTCCTGAAGCCTTTGAGCTTTGTCAAATGGGTTAAATTCTACTAAAGAATTTGCTTTAGATTTTATCACAGCACACTCAGTCTCTCTTCATGCATCGTATTCTCACAGACATTTGATCAAACCATTTGATTTTCATGTCATATGGAAACAACAGAAAATACATATAAAAATTATATGTATATGTATGGAATCTCTCTCTCTCTTTAGCTGCTAAATGCTCTGCTATGTTCAGTAGCTAGTCACTAACCATGTCTATTGTTTGGTGCTGCATAGACAGTGTACAGTGGGTTTATTACAACTTTTGGTAACATTTTATATTATCTTATAGGTTCTTGTAATAAGTGTTTACAGTGCCTTATAAGATCTGTATTAGTATGTGTTGATATGACTATATAAGTGTTAATGATACAACCATAAACACGTTTATTGTTCGATTATAAGACATTTATAAGCACTTATAAGAACAGTTTATTAATTGCTTAATAATGTTAATAAAAGCCTTATGGGTTTATCATAATTGTTTGTAATAGTATTATAAATGCATTTATTGAGTTTCCCTAACGTACCTATTGTGTAATTGTTATTCCGAACTAAGCATTCATTGTTTCTTTATTAAGATTTCTACATACTTTATTATTGTTAAATACATTATTTTTAACATTACAATGTTGATTACTCTATTTAGTTTGGTAAACCTGATTGAAGCACAGCCTTGCAGTGGCTGACAGTCAGTGCTGCAGCTGCAGTCGACGCAAATGAAATGAGACCGTGGTGCATTTTACCACTGGCCTGTCAGCTACAGCAGTTACATAAGGCGTGAAGGCAGACATGTTTGCCTAAGCAATCTTATTTTAGCAATTTAGCAAGGTCACAGCGGTAAGGTTATCGGAGTGCAGCTTATCTGCTCCGGTATCTGATACAGTACCACAGGCTGTGATGAAAGCAGTGCCTATAATGTTGGTACCTGGTACACACCAACCTGCTCACTCTGCGTGGGCTAAAACTAAACACAAAATGTGTGTACATTATGTTCATTGAAGCCTTTGTTCCTAGGACTCAACGTAATATTGTTGCCCAAACCTTCTTCTTTTAACTGTCAGCTTTGACAGTAAACTGTGATCAGGTGACACATTGACAGTATGTAATTAGTGGACAGAGCTTCCAGGTCTGTGAAATGAAGCGAACGTGGAATCTGTATTCTTTCTATTGGCCAGCAGGGGGCAGCTGCACAAGCTGCACATAAGAAGTCTGATAGAACTGAGCCCTATGAATAAATTAGCCTACTTCTGACTTAATTTATGAGCTCAGTAAACAGTTTCCTAATGAGTTTATGGTCTCAATCTCTAGT